TATTTTAATTTTAAATAATATATAATTAAGTTTAATTGTGGGAAACGTCCATCACATAATTAAAGAGCATAATAAAAAATAGACATTTATTTTAAAATAAAATAGAATAATAAATATTTTTAATTATTTTCCCAGCAACATGGAAGAAGATGCGCATCTACCGAGAAACAAGTGGAAGAAGCGGCAACGCAATTACGCAAGTTGCACCTGATAAATAAATCTCGCGACACACATGTTTAGGATATGATAATGTATTTTTTTTTTAATTTAAAATTTAATTTTCTTATTTTTAAGAAAAAGAAAATTGAATTTTTGTATTGAAGATCTTCAAAGGTCAATAGCGAAAGGAAATGGACCAATAATGAAGGTAGCTCTTGGTGCCTCTAAACCATGAAGAGCCATCTTTTGACCCTTTTTTTTTGGAAATAAAAGAATTTCATACCCTACTTGTCATTATTATTATATATTGACTAAGTTCAATGTTTATCGACATTCATTCAGATAAAATATGTACAACGACTTGCATCAGTAGAATAGTCTGATTGTTTTAAGTTTGGACTTCAAAGATTAAAAGTATCTGGAGGTCCCAGATTTAACTCAAATGAAGAATAAAAATCTTTTTGTAGCAATAGAAATTCAAATGCGATGACTCCGAGCTATCTGTAAAACATGTGATTACTCTATGATTAATCGGCTCGCATAACAAGTTAGATATCTAGGTTAATTAAAAAAATTAGTCGAGTCGATGGCAAAACCAATCCTTGCCTCATTAATTAAGTAATAATAGTTTATTATAATCTAAGTTGTTTATTGCCTTTTAGTCCTACAAGTTACTTTGTTCATGTATCTAGATTTTTTAAAGAAAAATTATGTGAAAATTGTTTGATTAAGAAATATATTGTTAAAAAATAAATTGGTTAAATAATTTAAGAGTAAATTACATTAAAAAATAACGTACTTAACTTGATTCATATTTTTGAGTAACGTATTTTTAAAGCTTTTGTTTTGGTAACTAAGATGTAAAGTTTTAAACATTTAAGTACACAGGTAAATAGGTAACCGGTTATCATGCTGACGTGTTATTCAACTCGATATTATTTGCTGAAGCATCAACCGGATACCACATCAATATAGTAACCGGTTAATGCTTCAATCCTTACTTGGGTACTTATATGTTTAAAGATTTACATCTTAGATACCAAAATAGAAGTTTTGAAGGTACGTTTTGTTTTTTCATACGATTTGCCCACAATTTAATTGTGAAGTATATTCAAGTATTCGATGATTTCTAAAATTATTTAAAGAATAAAATAATTGTTGTGGTAATAGTGAAAAAAAATGTGATTGAAAATGACATGCAAGTTTTTTACGTGACGAAAAGTAGGATGGAACGTGAATGGAAGGTCGACAGAATAGAGGACGCGTGGAAAAGAATATGAGGAGTTCCAAGTGGAAAAGACTGACTTCATTGCCATTACGTGATCACAGTAGGTGAGGTCGCTATCGTAGCCTTATTGGACCCTTAATTTCTTGAATTCCTCTTCTTCTATAAATACCCAACCACCTCTCTTCTCATTTCATCTAATAATCTTTCCACACTAACGACTTCTTCCACGATGCCTGGCGCTAAGCTTTTCTCGTCTTTCATCCTCGCCAGGTAATTTCTGTTACTTTTGAATTTTATCTGTTTTGGTTGACTTTGTTTTTTTTTTTTTTTTTGAGATTGAAAAGTTACAGGGATCAATTCACAGTCTAATGGTTATGTTATGTTAACAGACGTGGATTTGCAACAGCAACACAAGGGATCAGTGGCACGAAGGGAAGTGGAGTTGCAATGATGAAGAAAGGAGGTGAGGAATCGAAGAAATCAACATCATGGGTTCCAGATCCAGTAACAGGATACTACAAGCCAGAGGGTCAAATTAAACAGGTTGACGGAGCGGAGCTACGTGAACTGGTCCCAAAGCAAAAAAAACAAAAATGAACATGAAGAAGACAAAGATGAATTTGCTTTGTCCAAAACACATGATCGTGTCCAACAAGCAACAACCCGTATGGATGGAAAGCTGTATCGTCGTTCGTCTGTTATATCATCGTTGCTTCCAATAGAATATAATCCTTAATTTAATAAATTTTATACATCTTAATTGAACGGTCTTGTGAGTTTTCTTCCTTTCCAGGTTTTTTTTTCGCTTTAGAGCAATTAAGTCTAAGTAATTAAGACTTCAAGTAATTATTAACTACAAACATGCAAACTCTAAATATATTTTTGGACCGTTTACTAAACGTTTATCAAATAAGTTCTTATCGGGTCATTTATCTTACTAAATCTACATGCAAAGATACATAATCTTCATTGGTAAAAACGTAGACAAGGACCAAGAGTTGTACCCGATAAAGGTGGATGAAGACCCTTACCCGGTTAACATTTACTGGATAAATTGTTGTATCCGATGTCGTTTTGATGGATTAAAATCTTACCGAATAAAGTAAATAAAGTGTTGACTCTCAACAGTAAACATTTGAGTAGACAACCTCTTAGTTATGTTTCGTTTACAGAGAAAAAAGAAATTTAGTTCAGAGTTTTATTAACTATTTATTAAGGGGGTGTTTGAGATTGCTTATTTAAAACAACTCACATTTTTTTTGTAAAAGTGTTTATCAACTTATCTGGTGTCAAATCAAAGTTTTATTAAAAGTGTTTGAATTAGCTTATGGCGGAACCAAACGTAATAAGCTGATAAATATTTTTTTTGTTTCATCCAAACACTAAAAAACTACGTATTGCCGGTACCACCAACTTAATAAGTTAGAAAAGAATAACTTATCAAAAAAACCTCTATTACCAGTGTCACACCGATATATTTCTTTTTTTCCCATCCAAAAAGTCAAAACTTTTTATTACCGATACCACACCGAAATAAGTTATTAAACACTTTAAATAAGCAACCCCAAACACCCATAAAATATTAAAATAATCATTTATTATTTAAAAAAAATTATCACTTAAATATTTGGAAAAATGTTTTTTCCTCAACATCTTTTAAGTGAATAAGGGGCCGTTTACCAAACACTTACCTGGTAAGTGCTTACAGGTAAAATTTAACATTATCATTTACATATCGCATAAGAGTTTAGTCCACCAAAACGGTATCGTATGTAACAATTTACCTGGTAAACGCTTACCGTGGTAAGAATCGTCGCTCTAAGGATTTGGAGATGCTCTAAGGCAGGTAAGCGCTTAACAAGTCATATTACCTTATCGGATAAATTTAGTCGAAGCGTATAAATTTTAAATTGGATTTAAATTTATTAATCAGGTATTAGGAATCCAAATCAATTATTGGATGGGTCTGATCAGAATTCGATTATTCGTGGTATGAAGAATATATAACAAAAAATGAAACTTTTGAAGGACACGAGAATATAACAAATAAAGGGAAAAAAAGTGGGTGGAATCCAATTTGTAGAGATATATGTATATATTTATAGTGGAAAAAGTTTGAAAAGGTTACATTAACCGATTAGTAGAAGTTCGATAGTTTGTTTATTTTTGTAAAAGAAATCAGTGTCTTAATCATTCAAAATGTAAAAGTTTAATGATTTTTTGTTTAAAAATAATGGTTCATGAGACTTAATCATTCAAAATAAAAATGTTTTATGATTTTCTATTAAAAAATATTTCTTAAGGAATAAAAGCTTATTGGATTTTTAAACTTTTCTCATTTATAATACTAGAAGGGTAATCGCATAATGCAGCGAGATACATCTCGATTTTAATGTTTCATTTTTTTCTCAGTCGATATTATAATACTGTTTTATGTGGTTTTAAAAATACGATAATGTTTTTATTTTTGAATAAAATATAAATATGAATTTATATTATAAGAATTTGAAAAAATATTGATATTAGTACCAAACTAAATATTTAAAATTTCTTTTTTTTTTTGTGAATTTTTTAATTTATTTTTGGTTTAGTAATATAATTTGTTTATAAAGATAATAATTAAGTATTTTGTTAAAACTCAATATTATTTTAATTATATTTTAGATTTTTTATATTTAAAATGAGATATTTATCATCTATTTGATTATTTTTATCTGCAATTAGTTACACAAATTCAACAGATGAAATTTTAATACATTGTACTTACGCACAATTTACTTGTAATCTTGAATTTTAAGTAATATACATCAATAAACAATATTTAATGCGTAAAAAATAATTTTTAAAAAGTTTTTTTAAAGTAATTTATTATATAGTATAGATATGAGTAAGAATATTTTTCCATTTATAATATGCGTGAATATCGAATTGAAACATGAATAGGTTAACAGAGTAATATTTTATTAATAAAAAATCATTCATGGCTTAGTAACAAATATATCGAATAACAGATGGAAGATCATATACTCATTCCATGTATACCAGCAAGGCTAATTCCTTCATTGTTGCTAATTAAGTTTCAAAGTTATGCAACAGTTCGGTTTGTTTCAGGTGAACGTAATAAGTCACCTTCATATCTTCTGATTTACGGATCAAGTTGTTCATTGAGTTTAATCAGTGTCGACGAGTTTTGTTCTTCAGAAGTAGTTCACGGAGATCAGCGGCATCGATCTGGTTTGTTTGGTCCTCTGGCTTGTAGTAGCCTGTAACTGGATCTGGAACCCAAGGAGTCGATGATTTCTTCGATTCATCGCCTCCTTTCTTCATCATTGCAACTCCGCTTCCCCTCACGGTTCCTGATACACTTCCATGTGCTGCCATCGCAAATCCACGCCTGTTCAAATTATTCAAAACAAAATCATCAGATGATGAATCTCCAAAACTTTTGAATCTCGAATCACAGAATCAGATGAAATCCAC